CACAGAATGAGGGGACCCCTCCCTCCCGCTGAGGGATCCTCAGAAGACACCTAGTATGAACAGTCTTAGTGCAGGGAGAGCTGTAGGGCCATAGAGCTGTAGCGTAGGGTCTTCCTCTAATGAGAGACCGCTCTGCCCCAGGACTTTCTTCATAGGCCACTGCCCACCTGCTTGATATCCTTGGGTGTCAGTCCCCACGTGGACAGGGACAGAGATGCAGACTTACTGGGAGCATCAAGTCCCTGCTGCTTTAGGCCCGCCTTTCTGCTGACAAGCTGGGTCCTGGCCAGGATGTGTGGGGGAAGGAAGCAGGCTTTCAAGTTGTGAGGGTGTGCGTGCCTGGCTCTGTGTTGCCATGGCTACCAGACACCCCGAATTCACTCCACACCGTAATTCCTGCTGTCCTCTTTACTTTTTAACAGAAGTCAAATCTGCACCCCAAGGTGCAACAGCTCTTAACCAAAATTCAAAGTTCCGGGGCTGGGGGTTTAGCTCAGCGGCATAAGCACCTGCCTTGCAAGCAGGTGGTTGTGAGTTCGATCCCCGGTACCGATAAAAATGAAAAAAAGACAATAAAACAAAATTCAAAGTTCAGGCATCTGGGAGTTCCAAGGGTTCTAGTATGACGCGTCTTCTGAAGGATTTCTGGGGTCTGCTGGGAATGATGCTGCCCGGTCACACCAGGCAAGCTGGAAGGCTGTGTCAAAACAGACACTGAGCTTTCTCAGGGGCTGTCATGTAGAATTAATGGGCTGGAGGTCTTGGGGGTTCCCAAGCCCTGTCAGCCAAAGAAAGCAGCAGTGGTAGTGTACTTAGATTTTCAGAGGTCTTTGGCAAGCTTCTGTGACCCCAACTTTCCCTTTCTTTGAAAAGATGGAATTGCTTTGCTGTGGCTTGGCAGGGTTTGGACAGTTTGTCACACACAGGAGCTCATGGGGAGAGGAAACGGCTCCTGGTCATGCACGTGTACTTTTCTTGATGGAGAATTGTGAACAGCAGAGTCTCTCATGGGGATGGGTGCCACGTTCAGCGTGGTTCTTAAAATTCCAGAGGGAGGACTTTGGAGGCTGAATTGAGGTCAGGCAGAGCCCTCTTCTGATGGGAGAAAGTGTCTTTACTTATACAATCCATATAAGAGACTTTTCACAGAGAATTTAAGGAGAGGGTAAGATCTAGAGCAAGAATAGCTCCTCATCTTCAACAAAGTATCATGCCTTGGTGGTTACCTGGGAACAAGAGAGAAGTTGTTTCTGTTATCTCAGGGGAAGGCCAGGTCACCTTGGGCATCAGCTCCCTGAGCTCTGTACGCTTCTCTTGGGGCCCTGCCAAACTCTTTTGAGAAGAGGTGACCTTGTTCTAGATTCCCGAGGTTCAGATAGCTTTGCTCCCAACAGATGGGCGCAGGAATGATCCTGGCTCATGTCCTGTTAAATGTAAGATCTGGAGGAAGAAGCCTGTAGGGAAAATTGTGAATCAATAGGACTTCTGGGGAATGGGAAGCCCAGTCATTGCTAAGGATTGACCATGTGTACACTGTGTGTCCATTGTGTGCCTGGACACAGTCTCATGTGTGGTGTTGTTGTGCTTTTAAAACATGGGATTATAATTCTGGCATAGGTTTGCTTTGCTCACTGGTACATTATGGAAATCATTATGCAAAGAAGCACTTTCTTGTCTTTGAGACGTTTCTCCACACAGTGTCTGTGTGATAATCAATTCCCTCTCATTGGCTATTTCTGTTAGTTTTGGATTACAAATAATATAACAGTGTAACCTTAAGCATCTTCATATTCAAATATGTGCACTTAGGACAAGTGTTTCTAAGGGTAGCCACCTGAAAGGAAAATTGCTGTGTCAAAGAGGGTATGCCTTAAGCTTTTGACCCATGTTCTTCCTGTAATGAGCCTGCAAAAGAGTGTGGTCCAAGGCACCTGGCAGTGCCCATTTCCTCAGACCCCTACCCACACTGGACATTGGTTTCCTACTGATGTGGTAACAAATTACCGCAACCCTAGTGGTTTAAGATTTATCATCCTGGGCTGGAGATTTAGCTCAGCACCATAAGCGCTTGCCTGGCAAGCATGAGGTCATGAGTTCAATCCCCAGTACCAAAAAAAAAAAAAAAAAAAAAAAAAAGATTTATCATCCTATGTTTCTAGAAGTCAGAAATCTAACTCAAGTTTCACTGGGCTAAATCACAGTGCGGACAGGGCTGCATTCCATTCGGGAGGCACAGAGGAGAATCTGCTCCTTGGCCCTCATTCCCTTTATCTACAAACCCAGCGATAACCAGTGGAGCCTTTGTGGCATCTCACACAAGGCTATTCCGACTCTGACTCTTTTCCGATCTCCCTTTCCATTTTTAAACCCCTGGTGTTTACACGAAGCACAGTGGATAGATAACCCAGGATAGACTTCCAGTCCTCGGGTCAGCTGAGTAGCAGCCTAATTCTGTTTTTCCCCTTTGAGGTAACAGTGCAGGCTCCTGGGTGGCTGTGGCTATTTTAGAAAGGAGACATAATTTTGCAGAACAACAAAGATTAGCTGTCTACATTTTTTCTATTCTGAGTGAAAAAGTGACATTCTCCTCTTTTAAGCTGCATTTTCTTGACTGCTGGGGAAGCTGAACATCTTTTCCTATGTCTTGAAGAAGCAAAACATCCTCGTAACTGTCATTATTTGTACCCTTTGTTTCCTTTTCTGCCAGGTTGCCTTTTTGCCTTTTCTGTTCCCAATCAAATTATGAATTCCTCAAGATCACGTAGTCCATTTTGTGTCCCTCTCAGAGCCTCAAAATGCATAAGGATTCAGAGAAAGCATCCAGGGCCCGTTGGTCTTTCCTCCCTTCCTAGTGTCACCCTTTCCACTCTGCTGTCACTGGGAGGAATGTCAGGAAGCTTCTGGGTGAGCTGCTGGGCTGAACCTGATACGGGAAGGTGTGGTTGGCTGAGACAGGAGTGTCTCGTGATTTCCATTTGGAGCTCTCTACCTGCTGGTTTCTTACTAGATCCAACCAATCTCACACTGAGAAAAGGTTTTTTAAAGCTGCTTTATCCGGAGGTGTATGTGTGTGTGAGGTGCTGTAAGTAATCTACGGACGATTTCAAGTATGCAGGAGGATGGGCTTCTCTTGCTGTGGTGGGGTCCTGGTCTAACAGACCAAGTGTCCAGACCCCGGCTGAGCTCTTAACCCTCAGAACCGGTTTTCTGACCAGGAAACACAGTAATAGCGATTCCTCCTGTTTTAGGGTGGCTGAGAAGGCAGTGGGAGTCATCAGCTCCATCTCCAGCACCTCGTGCTATAGGTCTCAAAAGCAGGCAGAGCTGCAAGGAGGGGACTGGCAGAAGCTGCCGGGCTAAAATGAATGGATTAGGGCTGGGGATTTAGCTCAGCGGCATAAGTGCCTGCCTTGCAAGCAGGCAGTCATGAGTTCAATCCCTGGTACCGATTAAGATAAAAAAATAAATAAAATGAATGGGACTGTGGAGGGGCAGGCACAGAAAACTAATTTTAGGTCATTTTAGGGCATCAGGCAGTGTGATCTCTCTTGGCGTTTGAGAAATCCTAGTAAGAGTTAAATCGCTCCTCTATTAACATGGGGGTCCGTCGGGAGGGTGGGGTATGGTGGGTTAGGGTTAGGATTAGGATTAGGGTTTGGGTTGATTTGCATGTGCCCAGAGGTGCAGGCATCTTTATCAGCCTCCTTACTGTGTCCTGTGGGGCTGAGTGGAGGTGGCATCCAGTGGCACTGAAGGGCTTCTTGTCTGCCTGAGCTCTGCTTGGTGAGCAGCCCATACACCGAGGCCTGCCACAGTGCTCAGTCTGCCATTTAGCAGCCTGCAACTGCCGTGAGCCAGGCTTCCATGCACTCAGATCCTGCAGGCTTAGCTGGGGCCCCTAGACCAATGATAGTGATAGAACCTCTGCCCCTAGTCAGGGCCTCTGCTGAGCCCCAGCCTGCTTCCTAGCTCCTAGAAATCCTACCCATACCCACTGGGCTGTGGCCTCAGCTCCCATGGCAGGATATAGGGGGATCAGCCCTGGGCCCTTAGGTTCAGGCCTGGCCACCCATCCTGGCTTTTATGATTACAGCTCCATACCTGCTTCAGGATGGAGAGCACTCCAAGACAGAGTGGAGGCAGGTCCCCCTGTCTGCCAACACTCTTCTAGATGATTTGCTGGGACCCCAGAATTCCAAGCTTCAGGAGGACCTTCCTTACTTCTGCCTGTGCATCTGGAGCCCCGAGTTTTCTCCATTCAAGAGCTGCTGCTGGAAAGTGTCCCTCCACTCTCACCGGCTGTATCCCCCCAGCTTCTATCTTCCAGTTGGCCGCGTAGGGGAGGCTGCCACTAGTGGAGGTCGCATGTGAGAGCAGGAATGTCAAGCCTGGCACAGTGCCTGCCCTGCGAAGGGACCCATGATGGTTGTTGTCCTCCTTTTCCTGCCCCAAAGCTGCCCTTTCCCAGGCCTGAGCCTAAGAGGAACTTTGACTCTGGAACAGGCACATAGTTGCCTTCCTTCCTCCATGGAGTGGAGCTGGCAACCCCGGGGCAAAGCCCTGGGCTGGCTTGAAGCTGGCAGCCGCCTTTGTGTCTCTGCTGAGGCTCCAGTCCACCATGAAGGGCTCCCCAAGGGCACAGCTGCAGCCTGGAGGACGGATGGCCAGCAGCACAGCCTCTGTCAGGCCCAGCTCCCAGCCCTCCCTGGAATTCATTAGCACTTATTAAACCCATCTGCTCCATGAGCAAGACCAGCCCTGAGTCTCCAGACCCAGCCAGGGATGTGGGGGGAGATGGCACATAGGCAGTGATTGTGTGACATGGATGTGGGGTCCTCAAGGCTGCAGGGAACTTGTGAGGGCAAATGCTGAGACCAGCCAGGTGGACCAGTTAAGAGTGGCTGAGGTCTTGGACATTTGAGTGTCCTGAGCCTTCCAGGGCACTGTAGGTCTGCTGCCCTGCATTTCGCTGATGGAGCTGCCCTTCCTGCCTCCCCCAGGAGTGCATCATTGATGAGGACTGCGGCCCCTCCAGATACTGCCAGTTCTCCAGTTTCCAGTACACCTGCCAGCCGTGTCGGGATGAGCAGACGGTGAGGATGCCCAAGGGTCTCTAGGGCTGCAGACAAGGCTCGAGGGGATGTGGGGAGACAAGGCTGGGATAGCCTTGCAGAGTTGGGTTCTCGGCTGACTCCTGGAGTGAGCAGGAAGTCATCCCAGACTGGAGTCACAGAAGCCAGCTGGGGCCTGCTGCCACCTCTGCCTCCTGGATGGCCAAGGAGGGAGGTTGGGAGGGGAGAGGAGGAGGCCCTACACCTGTCTCTGTCCCTTCCATGCCATCCTTTCCTAGAGATACAGAGTAGCACATCTCCCGCCTCAGGCAGGGCAGAGGACAGCTCTCCTCCAGGGTCTGCAGCTTCCCCCAGGTCTTTCTGCCAGTCTGCTCAGTAAGAGGCAGAATGAGGGCGCAGGAAGAGATGGGAGCTTTGCTGATGACATTTCACTGAGAAGCACGAGGCCAGTGCAAAGGGCCGCTTCTCCATCCTCATGACAGACACTGGGAACAAAGTCATGCGTTCTCAGACTTTTTGTCATTTTGCCTTATTACAACAACACAACCTGATAAGTTTAAAAAATAAAGGGCATCTTGTTACCCAGCTTGGCTAGATCCGTGGTGAAGCAGCTGCTATTGTACCTGCCAGTCCACCCTACATCACCACAGCTGTGGAGATCCCACACCATGCCCTCTGTGGCAGCAGCTCTCAGCACCCACTGCCTTCCAGTCCAGGGCTTTCGTGGTGAGGGCTGACCTACTATGTCACTGGAATCACATAGCTTCCTGCACAGATGGCCTTGAGCCCTCCCTTCCTGGCCAGGGCGCTGATGGTGAGAGGAACTCATCGATACCCAGCTATCCTTTGCAAAATCTTGAGCTTCGTCAGTCTGATACCTAGGCACTCCAAGTGGCATTTCCCGGTGTTTTGACCCTTGCATCTGCACTGCACACTCATCTTGACCCCCTTGACTTTCCCTAAGCACCCCAGATTCTCTTGTTTCTTCCTGCCTCTGCAGGTCTGCACACGGGACCGTGAGTGCTACAAAGACCAGCTATGCGTCTGGGGTCACTGCACCAAAAAGGCCACCAGAGGTGGCAATGGGACCATCTGTGACAACCAGAGGGATTGCCAGCCGGGGCTGTGCTGCGCCTTCCAGAGAGGTGGGTGAGCTTTCCTCTGGGTGGAGGGGAAGCCATGGAAAGCCTTGCCTAGCACAGCAGGCCATCCAGGCCTGTTTACTCTGAAAGCTCTCCGCGTGTGTTCTCGGCCCCATAGTCAGGCCCAGAGTGGGGAGACCGTGTTGTTATGCTTTCCCTGTTGATGCCTGGCTGAAATAAATCCAGGCATGAGCCCAGGGGATTACATCTCCCCCTCCCTGTCCCATTCACCCCATCCTCTCAGTGCATCCCCCTCCTGTTCCCAGCTTCCACCCTCTCTGCCTCCCCAGGTGAGTTCTGCATACACCCACTCTACCCCCAGCATTGTGTCCCCAAAGCTCTCAGCCACCTCCCAGTTCCCCCTAAACCTCTCCTCCCCACTCCGCCCAGTGCCTGCAGCTGCAGTGTTCCTGAAGCCTTTCCTGGGAGTGCTGCTCTGGCGTGCCCATAGCTCCCATAGCTCTCCTGCAGCCACCCACCTCCTTGCCCTCCGGCCCCTTCTCTATTTAGCCCAGCTTTTCCCTCAGGGCCTTCCTGGCTCAGGCTTTTTTGTCAGTGCAGAGCCTTGGTCTCAAACCTCCGGTCCACTCTTAATCTCTCCAAGCTTTGTGGCTCTCTGAACCCAACTCTCCTCTTCCAGACGTCCCTGACTGCTCCAGGGCTCTCTAGTCATCCCCTCCTGAGCTCAGACCACCATCCACTTCCTCAAACCTATCTTCATTTGAGGGTGGAGGAGGTGCACCCCTATTGTTGCCCCTCTGTGGTAATTCTCGGTGGTTCCAGGCCTGCTGTTCCCTGTGTGTACCCCGCTGCCCGTGGAGGGTGAGCTCTGCCATGACCCTGCCAGCCGGCTGCTGGGCCTCATCACCTGGGAGCTGGAGCCCGAGGGGGCTTTGGACCGGTGCCCGTGTGCCAGTGGCCTCCTCTGCCAGCCCCACAGGTGAGTCACCTCTGCTTCCTGCAGGGGTGAGGGGAGGTAATGTGCCATGGGCAGCAGGGGTGGGGTAGGTGGGGTTCAGGGCAGGAGCTGGGGGTGCTGTGGACCCAGTTGAGGGTTGGTTCGCTTGGAGGTAGCCTTGGGCCATCCAGAGGGGAGGGTCCTGGTGGTGTCAGGCATTTAGTGGGTTCAGATTTGGGGCTCATATAAATGGCAGTGGCAGCTTCCCGGGAGGATGCCCCATGGAGAGGGCATAGAGGGAGAAGAGCCGAAGGCTGAGGAGGCACTCAGGCCATGGTGATGGGTAAGAATAGAAGGCACTGGCAGAAGCAGAGGGGTGGTTAGGAGTGCCTCCCCAAGGTGGAGGGCGCTGGGATGTCAGAGGCTGCCAGGAAAGGGCTCCAGCACAACAGCGTCTCCACACACTTTCCTGTCCTAGTGGAACTTTCCAGCACGGCTGGAAAGACAGCCTCCCCTATAGAGGCATGAGCCTGGGCTCCCCTGTTGTGCAGCAGGTATTGGGGTTAGCCTGTGACTGTACCTCACTGTCAGACTGCGTCCTACCTGGACGCTCAGATGGGCAGGGGGCTGGGATGGCACCATGTGTGACCTTCAACTCCTGAGTCCAAAGTGCCTGGGCTGCTGAGCCAGGGTCGGACTAGGAACACAGGACATTCTCTCTTTTGACCTCTCTTTGGCTACCTTGTTTAAAATGAGGTGTTGACAGGAACTGTGAGAGAGGTGGTAGTGTGCAGGTGAGGCCAGAAACCCAGCAGACAGCAGCCCCCCACAACCTAGAGTTGGCTTTGCCCCCATGGGGAGATCTTTGTCCAAGCCACAGCCACATCTTTTTGCAGCCATAGCCTGGTGTACATGTGCAAGCCGGCCTTCGACAGTAGCCACGAGCCCAACAAGCAGAGCCTGCTGGCCAATGAGGGCCCTGCTGAATACAAAGATGGTGGCTTCATGGAGGAGGTGCGCCAGGAGCTGGAGGACCTGGAGCCGAGCCTGACGCAGGAGATGGTGCTGGGGGAGCCTGCTGCCACCGAGCTGCTGGGGGGAGAGATCTAGACCCAGATCCAGGCCACGGGTAGATGTGCAGTAGAAATAGCTAATTTATTTCCTCAGGTGTGGGCTGGCCAGGCTTTCCCTATGTCCCCTTCCCAGTAAGTTCCCCCTTTGGGTTGGCAAAACAAGGTGCTGTGCCTTCGTCCAGATGCTCCAAAAGCACTCCAGAATCCTTGTTCTGGGCAAGGTGGAGCGTGGCAGAGTGAATGGGGGTAGAATCCAGCTGCCCTGAATCACCGGCCCCTCTGCCCCTCCAGGTTGACACCAATCTGCTCTACATCAATTAGAGAATTGTTTGAAGGTGGGGGATGAAAATGAGGTAGTGTCTGCCTAGGATGGGTCTGGGGAAATGTTGGGGGAGCCCTGCTTGGTAAACACCGACCTGGCAAACATGCGGTGAGTGGTTCATTTGTGCAGCTCTTTCCCCAGGCGCAGGCACCTGGTGCTTGCTGTGCTTTATGCGCGCTCATCTGCTCGGCTGTTTTATTCAGTTCCTACCTCGTGTCAGGATAGAATTTGCATACCCACCACTGAGTCACTCTCGGTCTGTGGGTGGGAGTGTGTGGAGGCTCAGAGACCACAAGCTACCTGCCCAAGTCACGTGGCAAGTGAAGCCCACACTGAGTTTTCCGCTGTGTGACTCCAAGCCCATCATGCTCCCCGTTAACCCAACCAGTTTCAGTGCCGCTAACACAACGCCCCAAAGGAGAGATAATGTCAACGTTGTTTCCGCAGCTGTGTCAGAAATAGCAGTGCGGGGTGGCCATCATTCTAGTGGAGACAGGGGCATGGACACTGTCTCCTCTTGACATGTGCATTAGTAAATTTGAAGGCACATAGTTAGAGTATAGAATCTAAGTTAACATGCAGAAGACATACTTAGGAGGCTCAGATTAGTAACGAGGTTTGCAAAATCACTTAGCAGAAACTGCAGACTGTTACCAAGCACATGGAGAAAATCAAACCAAGCCAGGCTCTATGAACTGTGGTTGTGGCATCCAAACCAAGAACATCAAGCTAGATGTCATTCTGCAAATGACATTTTTACTTGCCAAGAACTGTTTCCATCATGTATTCGTCCAGAGTTATTAAACTTTAAAAATTGTGCATGATTATATAAGCATGCTTTCTTTGGTTTTAAATTATGTATAAACACATATGTTCACTTAAAAATCAAGCATAAATCACTTAGACTACTCTTCTGTAGTTCTTGGACTGCTTTTCTTCTGACTTTGAATAAATACGTAAAACCCAGCTAGAAAAAAAATAGATGATCTATATTATTAAAAAAACAACAAAAAACCCCAAGAAAGATGTCTTCCACTGATGTATGTTTCCCAGACATCTGAAGGATGTCTGGCATCCAATATTTGATGGCATCAAAATATTTTAGAAACCTTAGCCATTTTTGAGTGGGAGTTAGTCCTAAGGTTGTAAATACTTCAGGATCTCTTGGAAGAACAAACAGAATATGGATGTGTCTTATCTTAAAAGCCTCTGTAACAGGCAGATGCATTTCTGGGTTCTTTTACTATTGTTCCTGGGAATCAAACTCAGGCTTTGTGCCTGCCAGGCAGGTGCTGTGCCACTGAGCTGTATCCCTGGCCCCTCAAATGTATTTTTGGGTCTGTGTTAACCTTCCCTTGCTATAATGAAATACTTAAGAAATTAACTCCCAAAAAGAAATAGTTTATTTTGGCTGACAGTTTGGGAGATTTCAGTCATGAACCTGCTGCTTTGGCTCTGTACTGGGGTGACTGGTCACACTGAGGTGTATGTGTGGGTGTGGGATGCAGGGGAGCCAAATCATTCACCTAATAGCTGGAAAGCAAAAGAGAGAGGATGAGACTGGAACCCCATGGTCCTTTCTGAGGGCATGGCCCCAAGTGACCCAGGGTCCTTCCACCTTCCCATCCTGGGGACCCAGCCTCTAACACCTCTAACACCTCATCCCACATGTTAGAGGGATACTGATCCAATCCGTTTGGGGTTGTAACACTTCAAGCCCTGTAGAATCTGCAAGGACTGTAAGGCTGAAGCCACTAAGGGCTGAGGATTTCAGGCACCATACTGGGCATTCCACCTCCCTGCGTGAACCCATTTCATCTGCACTGAATTCCATGTCTGTTTTCATTGAACAGATACAGAAATGAAAGCACAGAAAGATTGACCAAAGTCTGACCAAAACAGTATCTCATTCAGTATGCCCTGGATATACTGATTATTTTGCCATCAAATATACAGGTGTTCTCCATTGGGTGCTGAGACTCATTGGGACCACTCAGCAGCCTCTGTATTGCTCAGCAGTGTGTGTGGAGAGCCTGCTCAGGAGCAGGTGCTGTGTTAAGTACATTCCCTGGGTGGAGTCCATACCCCGAGGCATCAGCTAAACCAAACTCACACAACAGAAAAAGGCAACCCAGGACCCGCGTGTTGGAGCCTGAGTGCAGCACACGGCTTGGAAAGCTGGCATGGGAACTGGCTCTTGGGATTGATAACCATTTATCAGGATGCCAGAGGGAACAAGAAAGGCCTTCTTGGCCATGGGGCAGAGGGAGGGCAGCAGCAGGCATGGGTGTTGTGTAGAGGAGACGACCAGCCAGGCGAAGCTTGAGGATATGTCTGGAGAAGATGCTGAACATTATTTTATCCAACAAAAAATGTATTGAGCCCCTGCGTGTGTCAGACCATGTGCCAGGTGCCAGAGACAGTGGTAAATGACATACAGGAGGTCCCTGGCGCTCATTTGCTGGCTGACCCTACTCAGTGTTGTTATTGTAGCCACTGGAATATAAGAACACAGACAGCTCTGCAGCATCCTTAGCAAAACACATGTATAGTGTAGATGTGATGGCTAGCCACAGCTCTGAAGCGTGCAAGGGTTGAGTGGAGTGTGCTTCTTGAATCTCGCTGCTCTTCTCCTGGACCGATTTCTCACCACAGAAGCCTTGACAGATGCTGGCAGCCTGGCTGCTGAACAGCTCTTTCCAGCTAGGGTTGGCCCCAGGACTCACTTCTGAGAAAATATAAGCTGCCAAGCTTAAGTGTAAGTGAGAAAAAGAAAGCTGCCAAAGGGCTTCTGGGAAGGATTTGTCCTCTGATTGACAAGGGAAAGTGACGAGATAGGAGCTGCTGTCCTGTGCCCCATTTGCTTGTTCCCTGCCTGTGACTACAGCTGTAGGATGAGGCATTTGTCTGGGAGGCAGCTATCTAGGGTTCTGGGACCAGGCAGCTCTGAGGGCATCTATTTCCTTGCCTCTTCTAGTTCTCCGGGGTGGCTCACATTCCTGGGCTCATGGCCTCTTCTTCAAGCCAGCAACAGGCCTGTCCTCTTCAGTGCCTTGGCTCTGGTTCTCTGCAGGTTTCCACTTTTAAGGATTCATAGGATTAGTCTGAGCTCACCTGGCTGATGCAGAATAGTTTTCCCAGGCCAAGGCCCCTAAATTAATTCCATCTGCAGCCTCTTGCCATGTAAGGTAAATATCCGGAGCATAGGCTGTGGCCGTCTTTAGGCTACTGTTACTCTGCTTACCACGGAAAGCTGAGACTCTGTCCTTGATATTCAGGAGGAACCCAATTCAGGTCTCACCTTCTCTTAGATAAAGCTTCTGTTACGAAGCCAAATGCAGGAGCTAGCTACCTCCACGCCACCCAAAGGTCCTCTGGCCAGGTTCGCTGAGCTCTCCACACAGCCAGCTGGGAGGAGGGGTGTGGGGCAGAATGGGTTTCTAAATCCCAATGGCCAGGATCTGGGGACTGAGACCTGCACAGAGCTGGCTGGGCGCCGCCATTAGGGTGTCTGAGGCAGTACGCTCGCCCCGTTATTAGTGCTGTTTTGGAAGGGTGCAGTGTTTACGAGTCAGACCTCCCACCCTATTTCCCGTGAAGGAAGAAAAAGCTAGACTTACTCCCTTAGTCCAGAAGTGAGAGGAACTTTAAGGGCAACAAACTTCATATGGGAGCTACTCGTAGCTAAGGGGGGAAGCCAAGACACATGGCTTGCACCAATCTATGACAGGGAAGGCATGAAGCACCAGTCAGAATAGCAGCCAAGCTCAGCTTTAGGGGAAAGGACTGCCTCTTTTGGTTCTCAGTAACTTTCCAGAGGCTGATGAGATGGAATGTGACAGCATCCACATCCCCAGGGACAGGACAAGATGATGAAATTTTTGGCCAACCAGTGCGGCATGTGATGGTGGTGCAGGCGTCATAGGAAGGCCTAATGCTGGGAGGAGCTTGGAAAGAGTAGTCAGGCTTCATTAGACCACCAATGCTGTTTGCAGTTGAGTCTTCAGAACCTGTAGGGCACCCATCTTCAAGCCCACAATAATGATGACCAGATGAAGGGGATCGGTAACCTCACCACCACCAACGGGAGGCTGCTCATGTAGGCAGATGTGTCTTTTGCCCTTGCCCTTACCTTGGCCATCGAGAGAGTAGTGCAAGAAGAGGGGTTTGCAAGTGCCCTTCTGTCCGTACAGCATGGGCAGCACAGCTAGTGGGCACCGTGTGGGGCACAGGGAGCTCTGAATGATCAGATTGTTTTAATAATAAAGTGACCTAAAAGTTACAGGGTTGCACTGAGGGCTCGAGGAACATCATGTCCCAGTGAGGAACTACATTAGCTAGCACACAAATGGCAGCTACTGGAAAAGCACCCATTGCTACCTCCCATACCTCCACCAGGTGAGATGCTTAAGCATTACAGCACAGGCTGTAGTGTGCCCTCTGTGTACTGGGAAGCGGGGGAACTGGGAGCACAGGAAGTGGAAGGAAGGTGCTTTGTCCAGTCTGCATCTTTAAAGCTAGGCTACAGGGTCCACCAGTAATTTGGACCTGGTGAATTCTTGGGTTCTAAACCAATCGAGATCAACTCTTACGGAGCCGAGGGTGGAAAGAGGAGGAACATTCTTCACGTTTTTTGGCTTCCTAGTTTGGCCCCTACTGATGCATTTCTGAGTGGTCACGGATGCTTCAGTGCATTCTGGAGTCTGTCCGCGCTTTGAGAAGCTGTCTTGCTTCTCAGCTTCTGAGCTGTGAAAATTAACACCAGTGTGACCCAATAATCACAGCCTCCTTCTTCCCCTTGTGGACTATATTAAAGCGACATCTCAGATTTCAAGTACACTAAATCTCAGGGACTATGAGCCTCCTTGGGACCATGAACTGATTTGGGTGTCCAATAAAGACCATTTAGTAGGCCTCTAGAAAGTCATAATTTTGCATTTGATTTTAGGATTCATAGCCTTCATATAAAGCTTCTGTCAGTGACCAAAATACTGGTATGTTTTTCAAAGATTACACAGAACTGTTTGGATGAACAATTTTATTTAGCAAACAAAAAACTTGCTGATTCAAAATTATCTCCTTTTCCATGTACCACACTTTAGACTACAATCTGCAAATTGCAAGCTCAAAAGAGGTGGTCAGAGCCTTGATGCTCAACAAAGGGACAAAATCCAGAGGGAGAACAACATCTGATTGGAAAGGAAATACTAGCAGATGAACGAGAACAAAAGATTTTATTGTATGCCATACATTCACAGTCACTTCCAGATTCAGTAACAGCGCCACAGGGCAGTGACGGTGCTGCTCTCCCATTCATGGCCTGAGGTGGACCATGACACCACTCCTGTCGGCGTGGCTGGCAACCAGTGCCCCCCCCCCCACCTCGACTGGGGCATAGGTGCTATCTTCTCAGAACTGTGACTTCCATTATAAGAGATCAACACCCTTCTTTGAGAAGTGGCCTCATCACTGGTGAGTTTTTGTAGGGACCAGGCGAACTGGGTGTGACCCCAAACCGTAGTTCTGTTCTCTAGGGCCAGAACACACTCAGCACCTGCCTCGGCACTGCAGTCTCAGTTTTTACAGGGTTTGCGTGGCTGACATGAACACCTCTGCCCATGGAGCAGCTCCCCGAAGCCTCTGCATGACCTGTGGGGAGCGGGGGAGCTGCGTGATCACCAGGAGCCACTGCCCCTGAGCTTGACAACCACTCAGGGGACACAGATGCTCCCTTAATTCTCGGTGTCCTGGGGAGGTAGCCCCAGGGAAGCTACTCTTCCCACCCCCACAAAGTCACTGTGAAGAACCTGCTACCTCCTTGAAGTGTAACATTGTGTTTTCATTTATTCTACCAGGCACTGAAAAGCAAGAAGTTTTAAACTTTTTGCTTATATAATGAAATATATTTTC